AAAAAAAAAAAAAAAAAATTCTAAATCAGGTTCTCATCACCCCATTACCTTTACTGCCAATTAAATATAGGTTCAGAAATACAAACTTATTTTAATATTAACATAAACCAAGGATGGACATCTCCACCAAAGCAGCTAGAATAAAATTAAGATCATTTCAACTAATCATTTATAAATATAGAATGGTTACTGTTTTCCAGTTAATGCTAATGGATCTGATCAACAGTGGTATAAAACTTCATTACATATATTCATTTAAATAGAAAAACTGAATAAGAATAAAACCCAAGGCTGGGCACGGCGACTCATGCCTGTAATCCCAGCACTTTGGGAGGCTGAGGAGGGTGGATTACTGGAGGTCAGGAGTTCAAGACCATCCTGGCCAACATGATGACATCCCGTCTCTACTAAAAATACAAAATTAGCTGGGAGTGGTGGCATGATCAGCTACTCGTGAGGCTGAGGCAGGAGCATCGCTTGAACCTGGGAGGTGGAAATTGCAGTGAGCACTCCAGCCTGAGCAAAAAGAGTGAAACTCCATCTCAGAAAAAAAAAAAAGAATAAAACCCAAGATAGACAAGGAAGAAAGCGTAGTTACCACTCACGGAGTGCTCTTTACCTGCCAAGCACTGGGTATTTAACACACATAATTTAGCTGACTGTCCTTCAAGGTAGGCATTATTCACCTCTGCTTATTAACAAAGAAGTAACGTTTAGGGGGGTTAGCTGACTTCCCCAGGACAACATAGCTAGAGTTACAGAATCAGTATTCAAATTCAGATCTGTTTGGCTCCAAAGCCAAACTTCTTCCTCATCACCATACATCTCTGCTTTTCACCAATAATCTAACTGCAAAAACAGACACCTACATGATGAACAAAATATAGTATGTGACAAAGGCTGACATTTTGAGAGCACTACAAAGGGAATACTTGAGGAAGAAATTCAGTAACAGTGGGAGAGAATTTGGAAAAAATTCCCACAACAGCTGAGAATTGCACAGGCCTTGAAAGAAAATACAATCTCTTCTCAGTAGAGGGACAGCGTTCCAGGCAGGAAAACAGCAAGAGTAAAGACCAAAGCCATTTAGGGAAGAGCAAAGAATTAAGCGCAAACAATGTGGCACAAATGTTCAGAGGGGCAGGAGGAGGATTAGGACCAAGCCAGAATGCTTCCTACAAACCAAGGGAAGAAACGAGTAGAAGAAAAATGACACAGACAATAAGTGTCAAATGCTGAGAAGTTATTGGTGGCCTTAGGAAGGTGCTAGCAGAGTGGACAGGTCTGAAAGCAAGCTACAATAGTCTAAAATAAGATGCAAAGTGAGGAAATGAAGCAGCAAGTGTCGTCTTTCGAATAATCACAATAATCTATTACTACAACTACTATAGATAGCATGATTCCCTCATTCATGAGGTAGAAGTGTTTGCTTTGTGAAAATTTACTATTTGAAAAACAAACGTGATTCTAAGTTTACATCTTGAAGAAATACCACAGGAAATGAGGCACAGATATGCCTGAAGATAATTATAGAGGAGATCCAAGAAATGGACCTCAAACTATGGCCAGCGCTTTCACAAGGCCCATACCTGGTGCCTGGTTGCATGCCTGTTGTTGTCATCTTGCCTGTGAGACAGCATCCTTTCTTCTATCTGCTTATCCCGGCTCTGTGCTCTCACCTGCAACCATCAACAACGTCAATAAATCCACCTGCTTCTAAGACTACGTTGACTTAAAGCATAAGAATACAACAATAATGCCTTGAATTTATGTTGTACTTTACTTTCAAAGGGTCTTTACACCTATTATCACAATCTCTACAAGAAAGAGATAAGGCAAGCTTCACATTCTGCCTTCTCAGCCAATAACAGAATCAGAGAAGTTGAAATGATCACAGCTAAATAATGGGATCACTAATATTTTAATCATGCCTGATGACTCTGAGCCTGGACTCTTCCCAAAGTATAATAAATAAGAAAAAGCATGAAGAAGTTCAAGAATAGAGTAAGGAAGTACAAAGAAAACATTAGAAAACCTGGGTTTGGGCTGGGCATGGTGGCTCATGCCTGTAATTCCAGCACTTTGGGAGGCCAAGGTAGGCGAATCACCTGAGGTCAGGACTTTGAGACCAGCCTGGTCAACATGGTGAAACCCCATCTCTACTAAAAATACAAAAAGTTAGCTGGGCATGATGCTGGGCGCATGTAGTCCCAGCTGCTCGGGAGGCTGAGGCAGAAGAATTGCTTCAACCTAGGAGGTGGAGGTTGCATTGAGCTGAGATCACGCCACTGCACTGCAGCCTGGACAACAGGGTGAGACTCCATCTCAAAAAAAAAAAAAAAAAAGAATAGAAAACCTGGGTTTGAGCACACGTGGTGCCTCACATCTGTAATCCCAGAACTTTGGGAAGCCAAGATGGGCAGATCACTTGAGGCCAGGAGTTCACAACCAGCCTAGAAACATAGTGAAACCCCATCTCTACTAAAAATACAAAAATTAGCCAGGTGTGATGGTGCACACCTGTAATCCCAGCTATTGAGAGGCTGAGGCATGAGAATCACTTGAGCCCAGGAGGCAGAGGTTGCAGTAAGCAGAGATCACGCCACTGCATTCCAGCCTGGGCAACAGAAAGACTCTGTCTCAAAAAAAAGAAAAGAAAAGAAAACCTGGGTTCAAGTCTCCAGGGATCCTTAACTCGGTAGTTACGTGACCTCAGAGAAATCACATCAGCTTTCAATAGTTTCTGCTTCATAATCTAGGAATCGGGAACTGACATCCAACTGCTTATTCCATTTCACCACTAAAACTCAGCATGATCAAAACAGAACAACTGGCATTTCTCCACAAATCTGCTCTACTCCAAATCTTCCCAATATTAATAAATGAAAATACTGTTTGACTAGCCGATGAGGTCAACAACTTGAATGTTATCCTAGATTCTTCTCTTTTCTCACACCTCACATCAAATCCATCAGCAAGCCTAACACGTTGCTCCACTCTCAAACGTATCCTGAATCCAACCTAGTCTTAGAATTTCTGCCCATACAATGCTAGTCCAGGCCACCAACTATTGCCTGAACTTCCACGCAATCTCCCAACCACCCTACCCTGCATCAACTCTTGTCCCCACACTCCATTCTCTATATTAGCAAGCCTTCAGTTTTAGAAAGTGTGCATAAAATCCTATTGTGCTTTTCTTAAAGCCCCAAAATGCTTCCCATTCTATCAGAACAAAAATATATTCCTGTGCCAAGGTCCACAGGTCCTTCGTGATCTGGATCCAGCCATACACAACCTACTTGCATTCAGCCTCTCAAACCCATCAGTTTAAGCACACCTCATGGCCTTTGTACTTGCTGTTCCTTCCACTTAGGTATCTTTTCTCCTAGATCTTTACACAACTGCTTCTTTGCCATCATCCATATCCCAGATCAAATGACAACTCCTCAGGAAGGTCTTCCAGAACGACCCTGGGAAAAGGCATTCTATCCCTATCCTCACCCCCAAAAACAGTCACTCTCTGTATCATTCATCTTTTTTTCCTCACAATATTTATCACTGCACAAAATTACTTATTAATTTGAAGGCTTACGTTGCCACCCCCATGCGAACATGTGCTCCTTAAATGCAGTCTTTTATTCACTAAATCCTCAGATACCTGTATTTGGCACAAGCAGCGATAGAAATATATGACTGAATACAAATAGTAACATCACTATTGCAAGGATGTCCTGGGAAACTCAAGAGCAATCGTGTTTATGCAGGTTCTTCAAAAACACTAGAGCTGTTAATAAATGTGGGGAATTTGTCTAATCTTTCCACTTAAGGATCTATACGTAATAAAAATATATCATCTCAGAAATTCTCCTGCTCCTCTATGCACATGTTCCAGTAGTAAAGATGGACTATGCTGAGCCTAATGCCCCTTGCAAAGAAGAGGGAAAAAAGAGGATAAATTCAGGATATAAACGTTTTCCTTCTGTAGGAATTTTCTTCACCAAACTGAAATTTTTCTTTTTCTAAAATAAACTGCTTAATGTTCATATTGCTACAAACCAACAATTTCAAAAGCAATAGACATCTCTGGAAGACTTTTCTGTAAAACCATCCATGGTATCAGATCATCATTATATTTAAAGACAAGTGGTAGAGAACAACTCTCAGAAAGCAGAGATCGCAGTTATTCTCAGAGAAGGAAGTACCTTAGAAGCCTTGCATGCTTTTAACACAGATATGGGCAGTTTTTTTTGTTTTCATTTAGTCCCAGACTAATGGGAAGACCTACAACTTATTTTTACACAGAGCAGAAGAAACTGCTGCTTATAAAAACATTTGAATGAAGAAAGATAAGAGTAGGGTCATAGACCTTAAAATCCATGTAAGCATGGAAAGTACTACTTGGCTGAAAGACTAAATACACAAAAGAAACTTTCACCCCTGTGGTCTAGCTGTATATAAGAGAAAAAATTCCTGACTCAAGGAAAATCAACGTCAGCTAAGGAATCTAACTTTCCTCAGAATGAAATTGGCTCAGACAGGAATAAACCTGTGACCCTGGCCTCATTAGCAAAGTAATAACAACAAAAACAACAATAATACTTTGATCTAACCAGCTTAGATAACCTGTCCAATACTACCAGAGCAATCCATTTAATTAATAGCATTTTCCACTCTTGCCTCCCCATAATTAGATCTTTGGTTCCATCCTTGGGAACAGCAGCCCACACAGGAACATACAAAACAGGATCTGAGTCTCTGCTCTTAAATACATTATTTCAAAATCCCAAAGGTTATTTAGGAGCTATGTTTCCAGAATTTAAAAGACAAATTAGCCAAGAGTAGGTGTGACTGAGAGTAACAAAAAGTATTTCACAGAAATGGACAGAAAAGGGGACAAGAATTATGAAAAGTTTTTAAAAGCAAAATGACTTCACAGATGTATCAGAAGAGAACCGAATGCATAAATATTAAGATCACATATTTATGCAAATTAGTCCATAGTGGAATAAGTCCCTAGCAGTTTTCAAAGCCAATTTTCAATAGAAAATATCAATGCACTAGTGGCTGACGTTCCAAATATTTCATAATCTCCTTGTTAGTTTCTTTCAAAGCACTGATTACATATTATGATTCTTTTGCCTGTTTAACTACTTTTGTTTATAAAAAGCACAGTTGTTTTTTATGTTTCCTCCACTACAATGTAAGAACAAGGACCCTGCCCTTCCTGTGGGCCACTGTATCCCCAGTGTTTAGCAAAGTGCCTGGCAAATGGTAAGCACTCAATAAGTGTATGTTGAATAAATGAGAACACAATTACCTTGCATTCGTCAGCTGAGAGGTTATGATAGAGTGGGCATCCTGAGATGGAGAAATGTCTCTCATGTTTTCCTGTAAGGTGTCCTGTTAAAGGAGGGAAAACTTAATCTCAAGAAAGAAGACAGGCTTAGAAAGTAGTATGTTTCTCTACGAGTTATGCTCTTTAAACCTTCCTACAGAATTTCAATTTTTTACAAGTACATCATACTCTTAAGGAATAGACTAGGATCAAGAATACTTTGAGGCCCAGTACTGTGGCTCACACCTGTAATTCCAACACTTTGGGAGGCCAAGGTAGGAGGATCACTTGAGCCAGGAGTTCAACACCAGACTGGGCAACACAGTGAAACCCCGTCACTACAAAAAATATAAAACTTAGCTGGGCATGGTGGCATGTGCCTGTAGCCCCAGACACTCAGGGGCTGGAGGATCACTTGAGCCTGGGAGGCAGAGGTTTCAGTGAGCTGAGATCACACCACTGTACTCCAGCCTAGGTGACAGAGTGAGACTGACTCAAAAAGAAAGAATACTTTGGAAGCTCAGGTTCATACTTATCAAAGTTCCAATACATGAAAACCAAAGTCAAAGTAAACTTTCTCACTCGAGCCCAAGAGTTTGAGACCAGCCTAGCCAACATGGCCAGGCGCAGTGGCTCCTGACTGTAATCCCAGCACTTTGGGAGGCCAAGATGGGTGGACCACGAGCTCAGGGACAAGCCTGACCAACATGGTGAAACCCTATCGCTACTAAAAATACAAAAATTAGCCAGGCGTGGTGGCGCGCACCTGTAGCCCCAGACACTCTGGAGGCTGAGGTTGGAGGATCACTTGAGCCTGGGAGGCAGAGGTTTCAGTGAGCCGAGATCACACCATTGCACTCCAGCCTAGATGACACAGTGAGACTCTAACTCAAAAACAAGAATACTTGGGAAGCTCAGGTTCATACTTTTCAAAGTTCCAATACATTAAAACCAAAGTCAAAGTAAACTTTCTCACTCGAGCCCAAGAGTTTGAGACCAGCCTAGCCAACATGGCAAAACCCCATCTCTACTAAAAAATACAAAAAATTAGCCAGGTGTGGTGGCACATGCCTGCAATCCTCAGCTACTCAGGTGCCTGGGGCATGAAAATTGCTTCAAACTGGGAGTTGGAGGTTGCAGTGAGCCGAGATCACGCCACTGCACTCCAGGCTGGGTTACAGAGTGAGACTCTGTCTCAAAATTAAATATATAAAAGTAAACATTCCTCTAATGCAACATATTTTTAATTTACCCTATGGTCTACCCCATTGAGAGGCTAACTCCTAGGGATAAATAACACAATCAGGCCCTAGTCTGACCTACCTCTTCCTTTCCATTCTGGTCACTCTGCCCCAGGTATATTGGCCTCTAAGTGTTCCTCAAACTGGTTAACTATACTCTTGCCCAGAGCCTTTTGCACTTGCTTTTCTCCCTACCAATAATGCTTATTCTCAAACTTTCAAACAGCAAGTCTGCTCAAATGTGACCATGTCAGAGTAGACTTCCCTAGCCAACTACATATATATGTGTCACATATACATATACATGTATACACCCAACTGTATACATATGTGCACACACAAATAATGGCCTACTCTCAGCACTCCCAGTTTTATTTTCCTTCACAGCATTTATCTCCAGTTGATATGTATCTGTCTGTTTGCCTTCCTTAGCTAGACTCTAAGTTCCATGAGAACAGACTTTGACTTGTTCACAGCTACATCCTCATAACTTAAAACAGTGTCCAGCAGATGACCAATATTCAGTAAAGTATCTGCTGAATGATTGGCCAAATATAATACATAAAATAAAAGGAACAATTTAGCAACGCATGTTTAGTAACAAGCAGAAGCTGGGGAAAATTGCTTTTCTTGCAGCATGGCAAGTAGATCCCCCTAAAACTCTTAAAGGGGGATTAAAGCCATCATCTATTATACTAGTGTAATATGTTGTCTTTCTTAGTTTTTCACTGTTTAGTCCAAGGAAATCAATGAAGGCCTGAAACAATTATCTTCTTTGAGTGACAACTGGTATGGAGTTCAGGAGAACTTTGCTGTATTTATTTATTTTGATGGTGTGAAATTATCTGAGAAACTCCTGCTAAGACCAGGAAATGATCCAAATTAATTAAACACTACAGAAAACCACTGGGCATGGTGGCTCACACTTGTAGTCCCAGCTATTCAACAGGCTGAGTAGGGAGGATCACTTGAGCCCAGGAGTTGAAGACCAACCTGAACAACACAGCAAGAACCTCACCCCTAAAAAAATAAGGAAAAAAAAAAAAAAGCCAAGCTTTAAGGCATGTGCCTTTAGTCTCAGCTACTTGGGAGGCTGAGATGGGAGGATCACTTGAGCCCAGGAGTTGAAGACCAACCTGAACAACACAGCAAGAACCTCACCCCTAAAAAAATAAGGAAAAAAAAAAAAAAGCCAAGCTTTAAGGCATGTGCCTTTAGTCTCAGCTACTTGGGAGGCTGAGATGGGAGGATCACTTGAGCCCAGGAGTTGAGGCCACAGTGAGCTATGATCACACCACTGCACCCTGCCTGGGCAACAAAGTAAGACCCCTGTCTCTCTATAACAACGAACAGAGAAACCACTACAGAAAATGTCCTTACTGTTGGCCTGCCAAGCAGCAACTCACTCTGTTCTACCATTTTTTCAAACTTGATGGCCACATGTAAAGGGTGAATTTGAGAAGCAGACCCAGTAGTGAAAGGCCCCTTATCTCCCAATCAGCATCTTCCAACTCTAGACAAAAGCTTAAGCCCAATGTTTGAACTTCAGCTCACTGAAGGTGCACAAATAAGGTTCAAACCACTAAAAGAATCTCTAAAGTAATTCACTAAGGGGCAAAACGCATAAGAAAACAGTAAGATACTTATTTATCACAGAAGAAATATTTTATCTTGTTTATACTTATTAAGTACACAAAACACAAGACCTAAAATTACTAGTTACAGAAGGCCAGGGTCTCATGTATACTCTTAATTTCACAGCCTCTTGACAGGAAATGTTTTTCTCATTACCTTAACAGCTATGGCCGTGCAACCACTATTCTGCACTAGCTTACCCTTAAGTAGTCCTCACTGAGTACAAGCTTTGTGCCACGCAACAGGTATTTTGAGATAGTTTTTGTTTTTGCTGGGAAAAGGAGGGAATTTTTTTTACTGGGAAAAGCTCTCGAAAAACCAGTTCTATTACTATGGACCATAGGCCAAGAAGAGAAATGCTTTTATTCAAGGGAGCAACTCATTATCACTCAGCACATGACCACTGAAGAGCCTAGGAAGCTAAATCTCAATAGAACACAAAACACTTCTGGATGATGCTGGGAGAGAGAACCACAGAACAAAGGATGTCATAAAGCTGGGGCACACTGACCTAGAGAGTTACAGCCTGGTGTCGGACACTTCATATTGAAGTTATAGCTTTCATGGAAGCGACGGCGCTTGGGGCGATGAGAGAGGTCACTGCCTGAGTCCTTCAGGGACATGTCCTTGGCAATGCTCTCATCATGAGACACATTGGGGCTGGAGATGTCTATGTCAGACTCAGAAGAAGGTGCGTTTCCAGTTGGAGTTCGAGGTGGTGACTCATCATGATCAGCTGTATTTTTTGTTTCTAAAGCAAAAGCAATTGGTAGAAGTTATGAGTGGGGTTCATTTATCTAGAGGTTTACTATTCAGTTCATTTATCTAAGAGGTTTACTATTCAGAAGAGTTTATGGGCTTCCCAAATCCTCTTTCTACGATTCAACCAGTAACTTTTAGCTACTCAACTGCTAGAAGGCTAAATGGAAAATGAAGAGGCACTACTACACCACTCCTTTTGTGCAACTTTAAATTCTGATTAAAACGAAATTTGGACTTTACCTATTACACCTATCTGTGTTTCTCCTGAGTGGCTAAACATGGATAATCAAAACTGGATGGAAATAAATTTTAAAAACATTACTATCCCACTTCCCTTCCAGGAGATACATAGTACAGGAGATAAGTGAAAGTGATTGTCCTTCTGGGTGACACTGAACAGATTTAAGATGTGAATGGACTTAAATGACTCGAGTGAACCTGTTGGTAGTCTAACAATTCAATCTTGAAATTCCAGACTCTGAATCAGGAATTGCAAACCAAATGTCTACAGGGACTCAGCAAGGCCAAGTAGACAGCTCATTGTCCATCTAAAGGGGACAACTGCTATTCAACTCCAGCCAATTATTACTATGGGTGATTGGCCACCCAGTGTTCCCAGATCTTTTCATTGTTTAAAATAAACTATTAATCCAGGTTTTCATATGAAATCACTGTGTTTTCAAATACTAGTAACAAATTTTAAAAATTTTAAACAATGTGCCAGCAAACCAACCAACCATGTGGACAGGCTAGAAGTAGTTCACCAGTCTGTAACCTCTGCATTGAGAAATTTAGAAATAAATGGACTGAGAAGTATGGCTATAAGAAAGTCTGCTTCGGCCGGGTGCAGTGGCTTCCACATCTGTAATCTCAGCACATTGGGAGGCCAAGGCAGGTGGATCACCTAAGGTCAGGAGTTCAAGACTAGCCTGGCCAACCTAGTGAAACCCCGTCTCTACAAAAAATACAAAAATTAGCTGGGTGTGGTGGCAGGCGCTTAATCTCAGCCACTCAGGAGGTTAAGGCAGGAGAATCGCTTGAACCTGGAAGCAGAGGTTGCAGTGAGCTGAGATTGCGCCATTGCACTCTAGCTTGGGCTACAGAGCGAGACTCTGTCTCAAAAAATAAAAAATTGGAGATAAGGCAGGGCATGGTGGCTCAAGCCTATAATCCAAGCACTTTGGACGCCAAGGTGGGCAGATCACCTGAGGTCGGGAGTTTAAGACCAGCCTGACCAACATGGTGAAACCCCGTCTTTATAAAAAATAAAAATTAAAAAATTTAAAAAAATTGGAGATAAATGAACTAAGTATGGCTATAAGAAGGTCTACTTCAAGCCCTTTTCATCTGTGGTTGAGAAGGCCCAGTCTCTTTTTCCTGTTACAGGTCTGATTTAATATACTTCAGCTACTCTGGACCTTGAGAATACTCTGATAGCAAACTGTCCTCAGGAAGACATAAGAAAGGAAGCAATAAACAGCATTCATCTAGCTGAAGTATTAGGCATGCATCTGCAGTGGCCACAAGGCCTCCTTAAAAAGAAATTCACCCAGATGCTCTGTAATAGGTCTAAGTCATACCATACCCACTCACCTCTATCTGAAAAATCAACCACTTGCTCAGTTTCTGAGCCAGATGAACGAGTCTGCCGAAGAGGGTATTTTTTCGGTGTCACTGGGGTAGGCTGCTGCTGACTACGGGTCACTCTTCTGGTAGAATAAGCGGGCTCTTCGGTACCAAAAGACTGCAAATTTCGAACAGGGCTGGAATCTGATCCCAATTTTAAAAGAAAATAAAGAAAATGATGGAAATCTGTTTTACTTCCTATCCATATGATTTATTAGAATGTAGCTCCTCCTCCTATTTCACAAAATCCAACAAAGCCTTAAAATATCCATTTAATTAAATAAAACATCAGCAAAACAGCCTAGCTCAGGTATAGAGTGTAATGTGGTACAGCATTAATAGTTTAGGTTCTGGAATTACGACTGAAGTTGATTCAACTGCTTTCTACCATAACAACTAGCTGGGGTGTCTTGGGCAAGTTATTTTCTCCAAGGCTATTTCCTGACCTAGTGAAAAGGAAAATACTAGGCCAGGCGTGGTGGCTCACACCTGTAATCCCAACACTTTGGGAGGCCGAGGCAGACAGATCACCTGAGGTTGGGAGTTCAAGACCAGCCTGACCAACATGGAGAGACCTCGTCTCTACTAAAAATACACAATTAGCTGGGTGTGGTGGCGCATGCCTGTGATCCCAGCTAACTGTGTATTTGGGAGGCTGAAGCAGGAGAATCATTTGAACCCAAGAGGTGGAGGCTGTGGTGAGCCCAGGTCGCATCACTGCACTCCAGCCTGGGTAACAAGGGCAAAACTCTGTCTAAAAAAAAAAGCGGGGGGAGGGGAATACTAGTAGCACATTCCTCATCAGTTTGTGGTGAGGAATAGGTGAGATAATGCATGTAAAGCACTTAACATGATCCGTGGTACACAGTGCTTTATAAATATTAGCTGTATCTTCTCATTCATTTCCCTTTTTCTAACCCATCATAAAACATATATTCTATTGCTAAAGATATAACAACAAACACAACGATTTCCTTTCTTAAGGGGCCAATTTTTTCTTTCTGATTATCCTCTCTGGCACAATCATAATAGATTCATAAATGTAAAGCAGGAATACAGTATTTTATGTTTTTTTGGATGGAAAAACCTATTCTGAGGCACTCAGCAAACCTTTTATATCTCCAACCTGACAAAGGAAATAAAAGAAATTCAAAGCTGAAATTAAAGCTTTTTTTTTTTTTTTTTTTTTTTGAGACAGAGTTTCACTCATGTTACCCAGGCTGGAGTGCAATGGCGCGATCTCAGCTCACCGCAACCTCCGCCTCCTGGGTTCAGGCAATTCTCCTACCTCAGCCTCCCGAGTAGCTGGGATTACAGGCACGCGCCACCATGCCCAGCTAATTTTTTGTATTTTTAGTGGAGACGGGGTTTCACCATGTTGACCAGGATGGTCTTGATCTCTTGACCTCGTGATCCACCCGCCTCGGCCTCCCAAAGTGCTGGGATTACAGGCTTAAGCCACCGCGCCCAGCCTCTAAAGCATATTTTTTAATAGATATGTTTTAGTTTTTAATTGACACAATATGACACATATTTATGGAGTATGCTCTGATGTTCTGATAAGACATATACATTGTGTAATGATAAAATCAAGATAATTAGGATATCTGTATCTCAAATCCTTGTCATTTCTTTGCGGTGAGAACATTCAAAATCCTCTCTAAAGTATATGTTATTTTAATTAATTTTTTTTCATTTTTGGAGGACGGGATGTACTTATCAGGGTGTGGTGCCAGCCTCACTCTCTCATGGCTATGCACCTTCGACATATATATTAAAAACAAAAAAATCTGAAGAAATGTTCTATATTCTCCAAAGAAAACTGTAAGTTCCCAAGCTTTTGGGTGAACAAAGTTAGCACAAAGCAAGGTCATCAGTCTGTACACCCCCAGAGCCTCCTTTCACAATATGATCTACATTTTCCTCTCGGGAGGACCACCTTACACTGATGACATTGTAAATGGTGCCCCTGGAGATAGGCAACTCTGTGGTCACCAGGTATAATAACTAGAAAGAGACCCAGCACTTATGCATTTCCTAGCGGTTTTGAATACTTAGTTTTCAGGTGTCTAGGGCGTAGTCAATTATACTTTCTAAGAATATATGTCCTTTCCTTAAGACATGCTGTTCTGTCTGCCAAGAATGGGAATAACATATTCCCCTCTACTTGTAAATTCCTATTAGAGCCTTTAAGACATCATTGTACGGCCCTGCATGGTGGCTCATGCCTGTAATCCCAGAACTTTGGGAGGCCAAAGTGGGCAAATCATTTGAAGTCAGGAGTTTGAGACCAGCCTGGACAACATGGTAAAACCTTGTCTCTACTAAAAATATAAAAAAAGGCCACGGATGTTGGTGCTCGCCTGTAATCTCAGCTATTTGGGAGGCTGAGGCAGGAGAATTACTTGAACCCGGGAGGCAGAAGCTGCAGTGAGCCAAAATGATGCCACTGCACTCCAGCTTGGGCAACAGAGCGAGACTCCATCTCAAAAAAA